GAGAGAGAGAGAGAGAAACATCGATGTGAGAGAGAAACATTGATCAGCTGCCTCCTGCATGCCCCCTACCAGGAAACGAATCCAAAATCCAGGCATGTACCCTGACAGGGAATCGAACCAACAACCTTTCAGTGCATGGGACAACACCCAACCAACCGAGCCACACCAGCCAGGGCTGTTTTACTATTTTTTAAACATCTGGATACAATTCACACCCCGGCTAAGATCAGTCTATTTTGATACTTGGTTTAGCTGACAAAGTATCCTAGATCAAGAGGGAAGAGACTCATTAGTGATTGCACTTATACAACCATGACATTTATTTTTCACTCACATTTACCGATCATGCGATGCTGTTGAAATCTGGCTAGTAAAATTCCATCTGCCCATAGGGAGGTCAGTTACTTGTTCTTACAAATTAAATTCTAAGTTAGAAAATTCCAGCTTTCAAGTTTTTCAAGTGTGCAAATGGAGATGGTTTACAGCATCCCATAATAAGGAAATAATTTGCAGTGTTTCGGTGTTGGTACATCTCCTGCCTTGATTTCACAACATTCCCTTTTACTTTATAGAGAAATTTAAAACTTTTTAATTAAAAAAACACACACAGGGAAAAGTCTCCATTACTTTGGAGGGACAGACTAGTATGTCGACCTTGCTGAAAAGCTCTAGCAGGGAGCATACTACTGACAGCCATCTGTCATCACAGAAAAAGGCAGCAAATATAGAATATCCATATTTTTGTGTGTTTTTTTTTAACAGAGAGTAGCTCATCTTTAAGTCTGACACTTCCACTGCCAAGAAAGACATAGCCAGCAGTTCTCAAAGGGCTTGAGGGATTTTCACAGACACTATTCCAACACCAAGTTCCATAAAGATACCATCGGACCTCAAAGGTCTTGTTTTGTACAGCTGACTGCGTGATGACTTCCCATAGCAATTTGTCTCCTGGCTTTGACTTGTTTGCAGCAATAGCTGGCCCATGAAGTCTGCAGTGGAGGAATTTTACATCCAGTCCTCTCCATCACTGTCACCTTACTAGTCACAACATCAGTGGGTAAACTTCCAGAGCTGTTTAGTAAAGCTTATTTTTATTCAAGAAGTCACTTACTGTCGAGATTATATGTCCTCTGGTTCATCCTTTCTTTAATGGCTTACAAAAGGATAGTTCTTGCCCTGGCCGGGTGGCTCTATTGGTTTGAGTGTCATCCCATGTACCAAAAGGTTGTGGGTTCAATCCTCAGTTGGGGCACATACCAGAGGCAACCAATCTATGTTTCTCTCTCATCTCTCTCTCTCTCTCTCTCTCTCTCTCTCTCTCTCTCTCATCTCTCTCTCTCTCTCTCTCTCTCTCTCTCAAAAATCAGTAGACATATTCTCTGGTGAGGATTTAAAAAAAAGGTAGTTTTTTATATATTTTATTATGGAAATGGATCCTTGCAAATACCAAGAGATGGGTATACCTGTACAGCAAGGTTTGAATGGCTCGTTTTTGTAATCAAGACAGTTTGACTCCTGTCATTAGCTGCTATCTCTGGGCACATTATACACTCAAGGCTAGGTCAGAAGAACAATGTATATAACTAAAGTGCCATGTTCTTCTTCATCATTTGGAGCCCGGGCTCCACTTGGTGAGGGTTGCTGGTTAAAACTAGACGACATAGTAGAACACCCGTGAGCCGAGCATTGCTGTATGTTATGTGTTGTGATATGCCAGGCAACCACGAGTGCACCACCCTTTCTAGGGACCCCACTCTTCCCTGCACTGTGTGTGCCAAACATGACTGCTGACTGTCTGATATACGGATCAAGTGAGGACATAAATGAGTAAAGCTTCGTTTTTTAAGATAAAAAGGATGTGGATATAAGTTGTAATATTTGTGCCCGCTGTGGAAAGTCTTGCTCAGGGTTTGCATGTTGCTCCACCGTGGGGGCTGGGCTCAGCCTAAAGCCCTTGAACTGTGTGACTCATAGTGAGCAGGGAGGGCAGGTATCACCACCCCGACACCCACCCCTGGCACCCGCCCCAGGCACGCCTCTCGAGTGCTCCCAACACACACAGGCCTTCCCTTGTCATCGATTTAACATGATAGGCTGTTTGCTTGCCTATCTCCCCGCATAAAGCGTAAGATCTGTGAGGACAAGGTCCTTATCTTCTTCATTGTTGCTATGTCTCTGGAGCCGAGCGCAGCAGATGGGACAGCATGGCACTCAATCAATGTGGAATGAATAATCATAGCAAACACCAAAACAGCGCTCACTAGGGGCCGGGCCCTGTTATGAAGGCTGTTCACATATTAACTTATTTAATCCTCATAACAGCTCTGGAGGCCCTTACTATCATTACCCCCATTTTACAGATGAGCAAACTGAGGCACAGAGGGGTTAGGAAACATGCCCTCGGTCACCCAGCAGGTGGCTGGAGCTGGGATTATGATCCCTGGCATCTGCCTCCAGAGGATAAATTCTGAACCATTCCTCTCTACTGCCTCCAAATAAATAAATGATTGACTGCGTGGCAAGCCTTAGGAGGTGCCTAAGCTGAGAATCCTGGGGTCTGGAGGTCACAGGAAGGTGCCTGCTAGCAGGAAGAGCATCGCCCTTTCTGGGAACCCTCCCTCTTCCTTTACCCCTTCTCCCCTCCTTTTTTTTTTTTTTTTTTTTTTTTTACAAGGGATCAAAAAGGAGGAGGTCAGAGGAACTAATTAGATGCTGGGCAAATGCTCCACAATGTATATCACCAAAGGGCTCTGCGGGACCAATAAAGGAATGGTGACGAACCTGTGCTGCCTCATGGCCTCTCAGCTCAAGGATCAGAGAGTAGACAGAGAGGGATTTGTGAGATCTGGAGAGAGAGAGAGAGAGAGAGAGAGAGAGAGAGAGAGAGAGAGAGCCTGCTAACCCGTGATTTCCACGGAGACACTTGGAAGCTGCAGGTGACCTTGCATTTGGGACTCTTAGACCCAAGGCCAAAGCAGCTCCTGAGGGGTCGGCTGCGATCACCCTGAACTCCAAGGAATCTGAACATCACAAAATGCCCAGGATCATGTAGGGCAGACATATGTGAGGAGACCAGGACATGTGGGCCTGGAACTCAGGTCTTCCGGCCTCTGACCCGGGCCCTGTCCATTCACTGCCACGCCTCGGCCTGGGTACACACCGGGAAGGAAGCAGAGGGCCACTGGCTGCAGCCTGCCCCTGCCCTGAGAGTTCTCCCCTTGGCTGCTGGGACCCCCAGGAAGGCCTCAGCAAGAGCACACCAATGGCTGGAGACAGTTTTGGCCCTGACCCCAGGACAGAGCTCAGGGAGGAGGAGGTGGAGGCACAAGTCTGGCCACAGGGTAGTTTACCAGCCATGCCGGTCTCAGCTGTGATGACAGATGGCCTGCCATACACCCCTCTGCCCAGAGAACGAACACACACACACACACACACACACACACGCCAGATGAGGCAGATGAGGCTGAGCTCGACGTGTAAGGGCACGTGATCAGGCTGGAGCTGAAATCCTCAATTTGTAAACCTCAGGCAGGTAAGCTGGAGAGAAACTTCCACGGCCCAGAGTGGGTGAAAGAGGGTGGGGCAGCCTGACCCGCATTCAACTCCTGGCTCCAGTCTGAAGAGCCATGTGGCCGGAGGCACACTGCTTGTCCTCTTTCCGTCTTAATCTTTCTCATCTGTCGATGTGTGGACAGACACTCAGTTCGTGGGTTGTTGTGAGGATTAACTTGACTGAAGCAATCAATGGCAACTGAACTAGCACGCTGCCTGCCACAGCCTGTAAGTGCTTCCCAAGGATTCCTCCCTCCCTCCCTCCCTCTCTCCTCCCTCCTCCCTTCCCTTCCTTCCACACAATCTGAAGGATAGCAAGCTAGCCTGCTGCCCATCACTGGCTGGAGAGACTTGGGCAAATTACTCAACGTCTCTGAGCCTTAATTTTGTTATCAGTCAAATGGGGATGAAATTCCTTCCTTTGGCTGGGGTGGGGGAGGGATAACACTGAGCAAGGACGTAAAACTCTGAGCACGATTCTTGTCACATGTTGGTAATTATCATAATGTTCATTGTTTCAGATTTTCCTCCTCGGTGAAGTCCTAATGGATCCTCCCAATCATTATAGAAGTTCTGCCCAAAGATGGGCTCTGACCGCTTCCTCGGGTGGCACTGGAGCCAAAGTGGGCATCTTAGTCACCACAAGCCGGGAGGTGGAGCGAGGTCTGGTCAGAACCCTCCCCATCCCTTCCTGGAGCTCCAGGCCAGAGACGGCACGTGTCAGGGACACTCCCGCTTGTGCAGGGAGGTGCTAACATGATCCCAGGCTTAGTTCCCAGGGTGCTCCAAGTTCCTTGCAGAAGCTCTCAGAAAATCCCCAAGCCAAAGAAACAGTTGTTGTTGTTTTTTCAGCCCAACAACTGAAATTCTGA